CGTGCGCGTGCACTAACTCAGTGCACGACCTGGCGGACTTCCCACTGTGATGCTGATTCTCACGCGATTGTTACTCCAGCGGTTTATAACTCCTAAGTACACATCTTACGGTGATGACTCCATTCCCGTATGAACGATTTTGTCTGGCAAGCCTCCGCGCTTAAACAATACGTGCTGGTATACACGCAGACATAAGAGATGACACTCGGATAGGCCTTTGATGGTGTTCGAACAGTGATGACAGTTCGACTGTCGCTCTCGACGATGTCCATCACGAGTTTCAGCAGGCTGAAGCAACGCGGTGACTCTCGTGGGATTATAGTGAAAGTAGACTCGCGGAGAATCTACCCCAGCCTCTCACCACTCCAACACCTCTGTCCGATGTCAAGGCAAAAGTCGGGAAGACCAGAGATAGGGGAGGGCGCAGGCGGCTGGCGCGAGATACAATCCAACACGCGCCACAACAGCACCACCCTATTAGGTTAGGTAGGCTCCCGCGTGGGAGCGCGATAAAGGCCACATTAAGAAGGAACCACTGAACCTGACTCTCAGTTGGCAGTAAGTCACTCCACTCAACAAGACACACTTGAGCTGATGTCAAAGTTATCCCCTCAATTGGCGACGCTCCAAACCACGGCTCTTAACGCACCGCATCAGATTGTTTTACGTGAGGAAAGAAATGCGCTGAGGGTTGACACTAATCGCCCTCACCACCGTCGGAACAGTGATACACGGTTGATCACTGTAGGAAATGCTATCGAAAAGGTCTTATGCACTGTTATCATTGTCAGCTCGCATTCCGTTACAGAAAGGAGAAGGCAACGTGGTAAAACCGAATAAACTGGGGAAGCTGGACATACGTGCGTTCGGGGACTTGTTGAGAATGCAGGCAAAGTCAATTGAGAGTTGACTAGATATGAGGTCCAAAAGGGCGGCTGAGGTAATTGGAGCTTGCTTCAAAGCCCACTGAATTGTGCAGAACGTGAATTGAAGAAGCTCCTCACTACGTTCCATAAAGACCTGGAGAGTTAGAAAAAAAACACATGTATCAAAACATTTACAAGCGCATGGGTCTAACGTTGGAAGAAAGATTTCTGTACAGACTCAAACTGTGCACAAATGGGCAGGTTTCAGTCCCCACAGCATTCCGACCAGAAATGCCCTTGGTTTGATATGTAAATCGAACAGATTTGAACTACAATGAGGTAATCAGTGCACAACGTTAGCGGCGGTTTGAAAGCAGTCTAATTTGGCCTATATTTGACGAATTTTCCAAGGACATTTATCCATTATGTCGACAATTGTAGTCATTGGCGATTATGGATTGCTTTTGATTTCCCGATGTTGCGAGTTTGCGTGCCTGATTTTATTCCTTGTGAATAGAGGACGTTTTTGCGAAAAATTTGGAACGATTTTTTTTTTCAGAAGAAAGCGCACCTCTTTCTCTTTTTAAATTAACTATAATTGGGACATTTGCCAACATGATATTTCTCAATACGGTTGGCGCAATCTGATCCTAACGAATAAACTAAAGTTTACTGCCAAGGCTGACACGAATGCCTGGTTTGCCTTTATCGACAGAACAAGCCCTGCAACGTTGCTTTGGAAGGCAGGTTGGAACTTTATAGAACAATTGATAATTCACCTAGAAAGTTTTGGTTATCGTGCCACGCGATAACAAATCAAGCAAAGAGCGACCATATCAAATTTGAAGTTAGAAGAGGGTGAGCGTAAAGCAGAATTATTCTACGAAAAGGCGGTAAGTCGATGCAAAGAAACTGCCAAATATAGGAAACGAAGATGAAATATAAGCGTTCTACGTGTCAGAAAACGAACGGAGCATGTGATATGTCTTACAGTGCAAAAAAGGCCGGAAAGCATGTGAATGTCCACCAAAAGCAATTTAAAGAGTTCGGGTACATAGGGTAATGTTTTAAATTTCATATTTTTTTTGGCAGACGTAATTTGGCTCTGAGTAAACTGGACAGGAGCTGTGCTATTTAACTCGAAGGCGAAAAATACGCATATGGAAATGAATTTGCACCGATTTAAGAAAATCTTCGACTGTGAAAGAGACTGGCCATCCGGGCCCAAGGCAGAGCTGGCTGAAGAGGGCAACTAAAAAGAAAAGGGTCACTCCAATCTCCCTTATTTGGTCGACGTTCATACGTCCTTTCCCGCCGTCTAAAAACTACAACAGACGGTAGTCTCCGTCTCAGATTCCATGCCCCCTCCCCCGACAACTTGTCAGAGTGGAAATGTTCACCCGGACAGCCTGGAATGTCTGTTCGCCTTTTGGCAGCCCAATGGCAAACCTTACGGACATTGGGTTTCCTGTGAACAGGGTTAACTGGAGAACATAGGTGCCGGAGACAATTTTCTGGAGCGGAAGCCCAAGGGTGAGACGTCGGAATCACTTTCGCCATCAGGAACGACGTCATGAAAATGCTGTCCAGCTTTTCGTAGAACGTGAATGATCGTCTCTTGACCACGAAACTGCCACTCGGAAGACAAAAATTCGTTCACATCGTCAACGCCTACGCCCACTCAACCATAAAATCCGGGGACATGACAAAATAGTTCTCCCAAAGCGCGCACACCGCCCAAGCGACTGTGCTGAATGCGTACAGACTAGTTGCCCTCAGTGACCGCAATGCTCGCTTGGGCACACATCATGCTGTCTGAGGAGTGCTCGGTCCCAGCAGGATCG